GCCAGCCCGATTGCCCCCAACTACCCTCCCCTGCCGGCCCAGTCGCCCCTAACTGCCCTCCCCTGCCGGCCTGGTTGCCCCTAACTGCCCTCCCCTACCAGTCTGGTACCCCCAACTGCCCTCCCCTGCTGGCCTGGTCCCCCCCAACTGCCCTCCCTCCCCTGCTGGCCATCTTGTGGCTACCATCTTGTGACCACATGGGGGTGGCCATCTTGTGTGAGGGCATGGCGGTCAATTTGCATATTACCTCTTTATTATATAGGATTGTTAATAATAAAATTTAGTAAAAATTGACAATATGAGAAAAGTTATCAGCAACAAAAGAATACAAGAGCTGTAAAACTCTACAAAAACCATGAAAATTTATTTATGAGGAATGGCAGACAACAAATGAAAATTTCATATTGATAATCTGAGTGATGATTGGTGGTCGAGCATCAACCTATGAACCAGGACATCAGGGCTTCCTCTCTGAAATCAATAAAAATATGCTTAAAAAAATAAATTAAAACAGGCTCTTAATTCCTTTACTTTCCTTGTATTTCCTTTCAGAGACAGATGAAAAATATATTTTTAAAAAATCCTTCTTGAAAACCTCAATTTCTTTGGCTTCTCTGATATCATTCTCTTGAAGTTTTTGTCCTTCTCCATCATCTTTTCAAGTTTCTCTTTTATTATCTGACTGTTAAATACTGATGGCCCCAGAGTTATTCTGGATTCTCTTCTCTTTTTGTTTGGCATATTGTCTTTGAGAAATTTTATTCACTCCCATAGTCCCATGTGCCAACTATACTTTTTTAAAAATATATTTTTTTATTGATTTCATAGGAAGGGAGACAGAGGGAGAAATAGAAACATCAATGATGAGAGAGAACCATTGATTGGCTGCCTTCTCCATGCCCCCCTCTGGGGATTGAGCCCATAATCTGGAATCAAACCGTGACCTCCTGGTTCATAGGTCAACGCTCAACCACTGAGCCATGCCAGCTGGGCCTAACTGTACTCTTTTAATTACCAATTATCGGTCTCTCTCCTCTCTCTCTCTCTCTCTCTCTCTCTCGCTCTCTCTCTCTCCCTTCCTTTCTCCCTCTCTCCATTTCTCTATCTCCCTCTCTGTCTCTATTTCCATCTCCATCTGTCTGTCATTTCATCCAACAAATATTCATTGGCAGTTATTCTATGCCAGGCATCATGCCAAGCACTCTGGCCCAGATTCCTGCCAGAGCACCAGATCCACATAACCAGTTTGATTTCTGTGTGTCTCAAAGGCATCTCAAATTCAAGATGCCCAGAACTAAACATATTATTCCCTAATTTTCCAAACATGTTACTCACTCTGTATTTTCTGACCCGGAGACAAGAATTATCGTTCACCCGGGTGCCCAATCCAGAATTCTCAGTCATATCTGAGTTCTCCATAATTATCCTCCCTGCTTCTAATTAGTTGCTAAATTCTACCTCTTAAGTACAGGGTATACATACTTTAACACCTGATAGCTCAATTTTGAAAATGAAATGTATTTTAATAAGGACTGTCTTTATAATTATTCAAAGTGTCTGTATACATTTTTTAGGGACACTCTATATTTTGGTCTTTTATGGTTGTTTTGTGCCCAGGCTCTGGAGTCAAATCACAGCTATACCATAGCTGACTGCCTAACATTAAAAATAAGTTGTTTTTACAGCATCAGCTATGGACCAAAGGGTTGCAGGTTCGATCGCCAGTCTTAGTCAGGCGCGTTCAGGAGGCAACCAGTCATTGTGTCTCTCTCATATAGATGTTTCTCTCTCTCTCTCTCTCTCTCTCTCTCTCTCTCT